CAGCCATGACCGCTCACAGTGCCAAGGAACTGAATGCCCTTCTCACCACCGTCAGCGAAGCTCTGAATGCCTTGGAAGCTTTGGGGTCTCCGACAGCTCACTGGGATCAAGTCCTCGTTCACACGGTCTCTCAACGGCTCAGCTCAAAGCTTCGTGAAGCGTGGGAGGTTAAGGTCGGCTCATCGTCGGAGTATCCTTCTGTCAACTATTTCAAGAAATTCCTCACTGGGAGAGCTCGCGCTATTGAAAGCATTGAGATTAACTCGACGTCTCGTGCTCCTGTAGCAAAGCCCAACACGGTCAGCTCATCCAGACAAGCAACAACTGCGAAGGTTCACCACGGCACCGCTCAACCAATGCAAAGGGCTAGGCCAGCTCAAAAGTCTGCTCCAACGGGAAAGGTTACTTATCCGTGCTCCATGTGTGAGGCAGATCATTACCTCACGTCCTGCTCATCCTTTCGACAGGTCACCGTGCCAGCTCGTAGGGAGGTGGTAGAGAGGCGTTACCTCTGTTATAACTGCTTGGGACGACAGTCGGTCAGGGACTGCAGGTCAAAGACTACCTGCCAGTACTGTGGGAAGCTCCACCACTCGATGCTGCACAGTCAGCCATCAAAGTCAGCCTGCCCGTCTAGCTCAACAGAGGCAACAGATCAGCTCAGCTGCGCAGAAACCAGTTCCGGTGGTGACTTACGTGCATCAGGGGGAAAGGACTGAAGTCAAGGCTCAGCCTGCAGGTCCAACTCAACCTCCATCCGTTCCTGCCAACCCCAGCACGTCTTGGGCAGACCAGGTTTGAGGCTCAACAGCTCAGATTGCCGTCTCCTGCTCAGCTCGTCAGCCAGCTCCTAGCCCAGCTCAAGATTTCCGTCCTGGTGTCCTTCTGGCTACCCGCCTTGGGTTTTTGGTACGTCCAGACCGTCCAGCTCACCAGGTCCGTCTACTCATTGATCCCGGATCGGAAATCTCTATCATCTCTGATCAACTCGTTCGTCAGCTTGGGGTCTTAAGACTTAAGACTCAGCTACGAATCTCGGGAATTGGAGATGCGGCATCTGGGCCGGCATTAGGCAAGGTTCAGCTCACTATACAGTCCACTCACTCTAACTTTCAACTCAGGGTTTCTGCCTATGCTCTCGGCCAGCTCACCAACTCGTTACCAACATTTTCTTCAAGTCAGCTCACATGGAATCATCTGGAAGAACTCCAGCTCGCTGATCCCGATTTTCTCACACCAGCACCAGTTGACATTCTTCTTGGCGCTGATGTCTATGGGCAGCTCATCTTACCCAACGTCATCACCAATGGACCAAGCTCACCATCGGCACAGCTCAGACGACTTGGATGGATCGTATTCGGACCGACGGAAGGTCCTGATACTACTCCAATAGCAACTTCTCATCTAACGGTCACCAACGATGATCTCAATGAACTGCTCACCAAATTCTGGATCCAGGAAGAGGTCACTGGGGCTCCAGGGGTTCAGCTCAGCGAAGAGGAAGCTCAGTGTGAAGATCACTTTCAACGGACCCACTCACGAGATTCCTCTGGCCGCTACATCGTTCGGATACCGCTCAAAGCCTCAGCTTCCTTGCTGGGGGATTCACGATCGTCTGCACTCGCTTGCCTCTATCGTCTGCTCGGGAAACTCTCACGTGATGAGGTGTATCGTCAGCTCTACACGGACTTTCGCAAGGAATACGAAGAGCTCGGCCACATGCGTCGAGTTTCTGGACAGCTCCCTAGATCAGCTCATCAGCGCCAGTTGCAAGGTGAGGGACACGGGCACCGAGATGACCTTAGCACATGAAGCCTCGGCTTCAGGAGGGTTGAGGGTCTCGGACCGTTCGTGCTCTTCTCGGACTGACGCTTCATCGAAATATTTCTTCCCTCATCACGGAGTTCTCAGGGCGAGCAGTGAGATGACGAAGCTCAGAGTTGTTTTCAACGGTTCCAGTACGACCAGCTCAGGACAATCGTTGAACGACATCATGCACACGGGTGAGAAGTTGCAGAGGGATATCTCGGATGTACTTCTCTTTTCTCGGCGGAATCGGCTCATTTTCATGACGGACATAACTAAGATGTTGCGTCAAATTCGAGTACATCCGGAGGATTGACCACTCCAACAAATACTTTGGACTGACTCAAACGGAGATATCGTCACATATCAGCTCACCATAGTCACTTATGGCACCAGATCAGCTCCGTTTCTTTCAATACGTGTTCTTCATCAGCTCGTTGAGGATGAAGGACCAAACTACCGTCACGCTGTGGAACCGCTCATGAAAGGACGATATGTTGACGATATCTGCGGAGGTGCTGATTCAGCTGAAGAACTACTCAGGATCGCTCACCAAGTGACGCAGCTCTGCCTGTCAGGAGGCTTTCCATTAGCCAAATGGCACTCGAATAGCCCAGCTCTACTTACATATCTTCAACCTGACAGCACCTCTCAAGATCAACGATCCATACAGGACTCATTCACCAAGATTCTCGGGGTTTCTTGGCATCCAGGAACGGACAAGTTCAAGTTCTCCGTCACTCAGCCTGAGACCAGCTCAATAACGAAGAGGATCATATTATCGGAGACGGCTCAACTCTTCGATCCGCTCGGCTTCCTCGCACCAGTGGTCGTGCGAGCGAAGATTCTGCTTCAGGCTCTATGGATCGAGAAACTGGGGTGGGACGAACCAGTCTCGCCGACGACTGCTCAACGATGGCGTCAGTTCAGGGAGGAACTCACACAGTTGTCAGAGATCACCATACCTCGGTGGCTTGGACTGCTCAAAGAC